ATATATATATATATATATATATATATATATATATATATATATATATATTCTAGCAAAACTAAAAAGATTAATAGATGGGTAATTATTGTTATCAACATAATAATGTTAAAACAACTAATGGAGTGATACAATTATTAAAATATTTTTTTGTAAGATAAAAAAAGATGATAAATAGCAAAGAGAAAAAAAAAAGGAAAAGATGCTAAGTGTGGTGAAAAGGAAGGTTTAAAAAAAGGTGTGACATAATTAATCAAAAATTATTAAAAAAATGATTTAGCTATTTTAAATTTTTTTTACATGAATTGATGACATATAATCCATTAATTTTGTATTAAACCCATCGAAAGTAATTCTAATCATAAGCATTACTTTTGGGAGTCGATAATTCATCCACATCAATTTTTTTATATATATACTTTAAGTGGTTAAGGATTTATAACTTCAGCTTAGATATTTTTGTCAATAGTTCGGGTCAAATAAAATTGATAGGTAAATTAGCCCATCAAACTTGAATCGTAATAATTATAAACTATATATGTTGTCTCTTCGAAGACATCCGATAAAATTAGAACAATAGAAAGAAGAATTAAAGATTTATATATATCATTTTGATATGAGAGTACGATTCACCCCTCCACTGATATAATTATGATTAACGAAGATCTTGATATTATTTTATTTAAAAAATTTTCTAATGAAATTGATCGAGATTAATATACATAACATTTGACACTAATACAATCCAAATATTCAAATTTATTATTTTCATTTCACACACATAAATATTTTCAATAAAAAAATATAAGTAAAATTAGAATATGTAGATTTTTACACCAATACGTATCAACAATAGACATGGATTGTTAAGCACACAATAAAAACATCAAATAAATGAATAAATGGATCACCAACATGCTTTCCATAAGCCCGTCTTCCTTCACCTTACGAGCATTAGAACGCACAAGAAGGCGAAGCCCACATGAAGCCTCCCACCACGCACCGTCTCGCCTGCACGCGACGACGGCTTCACCTCGTCGTCGGTGTCCTTGGGATGGTCGAAGTTGGCCGGCACAGAAGTGTCGGCGCCGCCGTCTTCGGGGCTGGCCGGTGCCGAGGCCTCCGACGGGCTCCTCAGGCTCTCCGGCAGGCCCTGCCCGTACGTCACGTTGATCTTGAAGTGCTGTCCGTGCTGGCACTGCTCGCCGTCGTAGTTCCCCGAGAAGAAGTAGGTCGTGCCCACCTTGAGGAGCGGCACCGGCACGGTCACCGGGTCGCTGCTGTACTGCGGCGCCGTGGCGGACCACTCGGTGGTGTCGTCGGCCTCCGCGTCGTCGTAGTTGCACTGCTCGTATGTGGTGGCGTTGTAGGTCTGCACCACCGAGTGGTTCTTGTCCGTGTCGAAGACTGCAGCAGGAACACATGATCGTTCTCATCAGCAGGAACACAAGAATTCAAAATGCGGATCGCAATCGAAGCTGTTGTGTTAGTCCCAGCACTAAATTGATGTCGTGAGCTATTGAAGTTGATGAGAGGGTGTCCTTTTGGCACTGAATTCTGAGATTCTAAGGGATTGCATAAAACAAAATCATTTCAGAGCTTTTCGGAGATCGAACAAATCTATGACGAGGAGTTGGAGAATCACTACCAATTATTGAGATGGAGAAGACAATCATGGAGAAGTGAGAGGCAAAACTTCTGCATCGGGAAACCATCCAAATATGGAACTTACAGAGGAAATCTCCAAGGCCGAAGCTCTTCCCAGCTGCCCACTTCTGGTAGTCAACCGCAGGCTTCATGAGGCTGTCAAACCAGCCCAAGGAGTCCCCCACCGTGTAGTTCTTGTAAGCAACAGTGCCTTGGCAGCTGAGGAGGGTCACCAGACAACAGATGATGAGGAGGCAGCGGAAGGAACAACCTGAGACCCGACGAGGGGCTGCTTCCCAAGACTGCTTCCCTTCCATCTTTTCTTAGGATCAGGGACTGGATGTGAGGAGTGAGCTCGGAAGGTACAAAAATTGAAAGAGGATGATGGGGTGGAGACTTCACCTGTACATACAGCTAAGACAGGAGAGACAATGTCAGTGGCCAGCCATAGAAAATGCCATCGATCACTTGTTTCTTTCCCTTTACCTTTTTCCACCTCAAAACTATGATAGGTGGGTGGAGGCAGACGCAAAGATGAACATGACAATTGGCATTTCCTCCAAAAATTAATAGGAACTTAACCTTTACCATATCTTAAATACACTGTTATTGCTAACCTCCTTGCAATCTCCATCCTATTCAGTAGAAGTTGGTGATGATTCTAAGTAGAATGCTCAGCTCCACCTAAAATTATAGGAAGTTGACTTTTACCATACCTTAATCCATCTCTCTCTCTCTCTCTCTCTCTCTCGTGCTAGGTATTTGCTGGAATTGATGTGACCCATATGCCATGTGAAATGAAAGATAGTCTAGAAAATAACACCAAACCTACTACTGGTCAATGAAAAGTCATACCTATTAATACTTAATTATTATTGTTTTGAAAGCATATTTTCTCGTTTTATAAGCTAAAATTTTGAACCTTTAACTCAAACATAATACAGTATAGAACTAAAACTAAAGGTAATAAAGGAACTAAAACTAGAACATAGTTTTCTCATATCTTGCATGATGCTAACTCCTTAGAGCACATTCCGGAGAGGGCCAAAGGAGGAGATGGGAGAGCAACAGTGTGCGTTTGGTTAAGGGAGCAATGATAGGGTGAGCGACAAGCATTTGTATGTGAAAGCTGCGTCGGTGGCTAGAGATCCCATGCTCACAGGATCATGTGAATGGTAGCTGGATGAGTACTCTCCGTTGCCTTCTTTTTGCCACATGCATTGATGCCATGCCACCCAGAAAAGGATGGGAGAGTCCGTGACAAGTCAGTGGACGGGTGAGAGTGCCGACGCAAGAATAAATCGTAAATGCACGGTGAAGAAAGGACTAGAGATGATCGAGTCGAATCGGATGTGCTTACAGTTGTGACTCAGTTTAGGATTCTGTAGATCGTCTTGCACCCAAATTATTTTTGGATGGTAAGTACTTGGATGTAAGACCTGCTCAATCCATTTGTGAACATAGTTAGTGTTAGTGAACTCATGCGTTGTGGTCGAGGAGTCAGTACGACTTGGTCCACGAGTCGATGTTCGAAGTTCTCAACGCTCGGGGGCGGGTCTCTCGATCGGTTGGAAGAAACGTCGAGGTCGAGCTGGATCAAGGGTTGGGATGGCCGTGTCACCGGGGGTATCCGCGTTCCTGCACACAGGCCCTGGTCGAGAGATTCTCGACTTGAGCCCCTCGTAGATTAAGTCAGTGGTCTTTCTTCTTCTTTTTTCCGTCCCCTGGCCAAGTGCCGATCATGGGCTTTTATACTGTTGCCCGAGGATCGGTCATATGCGGATTTGGCGTGGCGACCGATCTCCCGAGTGACGAGATCATACCTTCGCATGGCCGCCACTCGGTATGCTCGGAACGACGCCATGCGACGCTGTCCCGAGCTTTCCGGGATGGGACTTGCCGAGGGGGCACCTCCATGTATAGGCTCCAACTCGACGTGGAGTGGAAGGCAGCCCTTATCACTTCCTCTCTCCCCCTCCCCCCCCCCCCACTAAGGCGTGCCTCGGGGTCCTTACAAAGGGCTAGGGGCATGCTTGGTTCGTGGAAACACAACGTGTGAATCGATCGCTCCAGTTGGGCATTTCAGGTAATAATTGGGCCTGTCAACCGAGTTGCCCAACCCGAACGACGATTTAACTGATTTGTCATGTGGTTGCTTGGCGGGCCATGCTTTGCGGCTCGGGCAAAGGTTGGACCTATCAGACGAGCGACTGAACCCGGGCGCAGGTTGATCTGCCGAGTCGCTGGTCGGTGGGCCGAGCTACGTGACTCGGGCAAAGACTAGGTTTGTTGGCCGAGCGACTAAACTCGGGTGCAGGTTGATTTGGTGAGGCGTTGGTCGGTGGACCGAGCTGCACGACTCGGGCAAAGACTGGACCTATTGGCCGAGCGACTGAACTCGGGCATAGGTTGATCTGGCAAGTCACTAGTCGGTGGACTAAGCTACGTGACTCAGGCAAAAACTGGACCTATTGGTCGAGTGACTGAACTCGGGCATAGGTTGATCTGGCAAGTCACTGGTCGGTGGACAGAGCTACGTGACTCAAGCAAAAACTGGACCTATTGGCCGAGCGACTGAACTCAAGCGCAGGTTGATCTGGTGAGTCGCTGGTCGATGGACCGAGCTGCGCGACTCGGGCAAAGACTGGACCTGTTGGCCGAGCGACTGAACTTAGGTGTAGGTTGATCTGGCGAGTCGCTGGTCAGTGGACTGAGTTGCACGACTCGGGCAAAGACTAGACCTGTTAGTCGAGCGACTAAACTAGAGCATAGGTTGATCTGGCGAGTCGCTAGACGATGGACCAAGCTACATGACTCGGGTAAAGACTGGACCTATTGGCCGAGCAACTGAACTCGGGCGTAGGTTGATCTGGCAAGTCACTAGTCGGTGGACCAAGCTACGTGACTCGGGCAAAAACTAGACCTGTTGGCTGAGTGATTGAACTCGGGCGCAGGTTGATCTGGTGAGTCGTTGGTCGGTGGACTGAGCTACGTGACTCAGGCAAAGACTGGACCTGTTGGCTGAGCGACTGAACTCGGGCGCAGGTTGATCTAGCGAGTCACTGGTCAGTGGATTGAGTTGCGCGATTCGAGCAAAGACTAGACCTGTTAGCTGAGCGACTAAACTAGAGCACAGGTTGATTTGGCGAGTCGCTGGACGATGGACCAAGCTACACGACTCGGGCAAAGACTAGACCTGTTTGCCAAGCAACTGAACTTGGGCGATGGTTGATCTGACGAGTCGCTGGTTGGTGGATCGAGCTGCGTGACTCGGGCAAAGATCGAACATGTTGGTCGAGCGACTGAACTCAAGCGCAGGTTGATCTAGCGAGTCGCTGGTTGGTGGACCAAGCTGTGTGACTCGGGCAAAGACTGGACCTGTTGGTCGAGTGACTGAACTTGGCCGTAGGTTGATTGGTGAGTCGCTAGCCGGTGGACCGAGTTGTGCAACTCGGGCAAAGACTGGACCTGTTGGTCAAGCGGCTGGACTCGGGCACATGTTGGACTGATTTAGCGAGTTGCTTGCTTGGCATGGTATGTGCATTATGGCACGTGTGCTATGGCGGGGGACTCTAGTGGGCTGCTTACTCGGAATGGCACGTGCATTATGGCATGTGCGCTATGGTGGGGGACTCTGGGGGTCACATAGGTTTTGATGGGAAATTTGTTGTTGTGAATAGACTTGGGTGGGAGCTCGAAGTTGGTGAATATGGGGGAATCTGGGAAGTTATGGTGGGTTTAAATGCTCCAGTCTCTTGTTCTATGCCTCGGATCTTTCCTCCTAGCCTCGAGGTCGGGATGTCTTCATCTTCCTCCCCTTCTTCCTCTTCTTCTTCTTCTTCCTCAGGTCGATCGGTTCCCGAGGTTCATGAGTCGACCTCTGGGAGCCCTAGGATAGAAGTAATTAGTTCATCCTCGGGGTGGCGTGCCCTCGGAAGACATGAAGGTCTCTACTGCCCTTGAAATAATGAGGTTGTGGCATGACGTAGACTCGGTGGTGACCGATGAACTCTTAGGTTCGATTCGAGATTGTTATTATATCCCGAGGTGCTATGAGCTCCATGCTCCATCGCTTGGTCAGTGTCCCTACGACCCATTTCCCGACGGGTTTTGACTAACCACATATGCCCTTGAAGCAGGACTGTGGTTTCCTTTGAATCCCATCGTCGAGGAGTGCCTTCATGGGTGGGGGATTTTGTCATTCCAAGTTGTGCCTAACTCTTGCCACTACATGGTGGCTTTCTTCGGGGAGTGTCGTGGGGCGGGAATCGAGCCGACCCGGACACTCTTCTTGGCTTGCTTTCGCCTATGCAAAGGATGAGGAGGGTACTACCTGACCGCCCACGGTGGGTTCAAGATCAGCGATGCACCCTCCAATAACAAAGGGAGGAAAACTCGTTATTTTTTTGTGAATCATAACTGAGGGTGGGGTTTTAATGTTGGATGGACTTTCCGAACCATCAACAATGTTCCTCTATTTCTTTTTGTTGGAGAAATCAAGAATGTGAATCGTTTAAGGGAGATTTTATCATCCTCTCGGGTAATTAGGGGAATGATCGAGGAGTGGATAGTCGAAGCGGGACTAAGCCCCTAAGGGTATAGTCATCTTTAAATTTTGGAATGTTTACTTTGCTTTTGGATCAACTGACCAACCAGCTCCTTGTTTGTAGAGATGGTGAACCTCCAAGCGCTAAAAGGGATGCCTCGTTCCAAGGTCACCATGCAACCGTCTCGGGAGTCAGAGAGTTCTGGCCCCTGGAATGCTTCAAAGAGAGGTACACTAAAGAAGAAGTCGGGGTCGCTATAAATTAGTCGACCGAAGAAAAAGGCGAAAACGGGGACTCAAATGATGTCCGAGGGCTTGGCGACTCGTGAGAGGGTAGCCCGAGGGTTACCCGAGGCGGGGGTTGCTCCCCAAGGCGAGGGCTCAGTGGGCGCGAGAGAGAAAGGGGGCATCAGATCATCTGGTGATGACCCCTCGGGGAAATCGTCGACCTGCCCGAAGTCGATGCAGGACTTGTGCTACATCCGGCCTCATTCTGAAGGCGAGTCGTTCCAGGCCCTGAGCATGGCCGACCTTCCAAAGGGGGAGCCGAGGGCTCCCTATGCCTCGCGGTGGGCGACCCTCAAGACCGAGAGTCAGATCTGGTCCAACGGGTCAGTAGCTCAAGAGTTCTCGTGAAGGGCGCTCCATCCGGTGCTGGCAAAGCAGCTCTACTGCTCTCCTTCTAGAGCCAAAAATATTGGTGAACGTACGTACCGTAGCCGAGGAGTTAGCACGTCTTGGTCTACAGGTCGATGTCCGGAGTTCCCGGCGCTCGTGGGCGAGTCTCTCGGTCGATTGAAAGAAACGCCGAGGTCGAGCTGGATCAGGGGTGGGGATGGCTGCGTCTCCGGGGTGGTCCACGTTCCTACACACAGGCCCTGGTCGGGAGATTCCCGACTTGGGCCTCTCGTAGATTAAGTTAGTGGTCTTTTTTCTTTTTTTTTTCATCCCCTGACCAAGTGCCGGTCAGGGACTTTTATATTGTTGCCCGAGGATCGATCATACACGGAATTGGCGTGGCAACCGATCCCCCGAGTGACGAGATCATACCTTCGTACAGTCACCGCTTAGTATGCGCGGAACAGTGCTATCTCAAGCTTTCCATGATGGGACTTGCCGAGGGGGCGCTTGCCGAGGGGGCGCCTCCCTATGTAGACTTTGGTTTGACGACAGGGGTGTGATGTGATGCGGGTCATGACTGAAGATAGGGTGAGAGGGAAACATGCGGATTTACAAGATGACGATTACTACATCTCCTGTCTTTAAATTCCTTGTACTAAAGTGGTTACTACATCTCCTGTCAAAAGACATGTTGGAAGTTGATATGCAGCATCGGCTTTATTGCAGATGTGAGAGCCACCACCCATTGTTCTTTTGGAGTCTTGGTATAGAACATTAACTTGATAGCATGCTGTACCGAAATATCACATGAACAGTGAAAATGAACATTACCCCGACTTATCATCGTAACAAAAGCTACAGACAGATTGACTACTAGGATTTGTCATCATAGCAACAGCTTCAGGATTAGCTACTATAGTTGGAGATGGCAGAGGAATGCATCCAGAAGAGGGCGACTTGATAGGCCTGCGTCTCACATATCCTGGGCCAGTTGTTCCTCATCCTCGTATTCTCCTTCCTCGTCAGCAGTGGCGTCCTGATACTGCTGGTACTCCGAGACGAGATCATTCATGTTGCTCTCGGCCTCGGTGAACTCCATCTCGTCCATGCCCTCCCCGGTGTACCAGTGCAAGAAAGCCTTCCTCCTAAACATTGCAGTGAACTGCTCGCTCACCCTCCTGAACATCTCTTGGATTGATGTCGAGTTGCCGACGAAGGTAGATGCCATGGAGAGGCCCCTCGGTGGTATGTCACAGACACTGGACTTCACATTGTTGGGAATCCATTCTACAAAGTAGGACGAGTTCTTGTTCTGGACATTCATCATCTGCTCATCGACTTCTTTGGTGCTCATCTTGCCTCTGAACATGGCAGAGGCAGTGAGGTAGCGACCATGGCGAGGATCAGCGGCGCACATCATGTTCTTAGCATCCCACATCTGCTGGGTGAGCTCAGGGACGGTCAGGGCACGGTACTGCTGTGATCCACGGGAGGTCAACGGCGCAAAACCGACCATAAAGAAGTGGAGGCGAGGGAAGGGGATCAGATTCACGGCCAACTTTCTCAGGTCCGAGTTCAGTTGCCCAGGGAATCGGAGACAGCATGTGACACCACTCATGGTTGCAGATATCAGCTGGTTCAAATCTCCGACTGATAAGACAACCAAATATTAATCTTCCAAGTTTCAGTTTAGCCAGACAAAAAACAGAGAATATATAATACAAAACACAGATAAGAAACATCAAAGCTTTTGTTTACTCGACAAATATTTGACAAATACATAAAACCCTGGAAAAGTACGACAAAGTAAAATTAATTCTACAACGTCAAAAGAGCTTGGAAAGGTAAAAATAATGATAATTTTGTAAGGTTATATTATCAAAGAATAGTAATTTAAGCGTCTTCTAAGTAAGATCCAAGCAAACTTTAGTGGTATAAACTGCAAAGCTCATGCCAAGATCAACTAATAGCAAGCGAAGGATGTCATATCAAGGCAGACATCAACAAGAACAATTCATGTGCCTGGCTGTATAAAGGTTTACATTTCTCCAAAATCACCTAGCAAACAGGACTACTTTCATCCAGTCTCACAGGACTACTACCATCAATTCTAGCAAAAAAGGTCCCAACAGGTTTGATGTGTGAAATGTCTCAATAAATGAATCTAGTTATCTCTTGGAACCTACAGAAAAAATCTGAGTTTAATTTCATTGATTACTCCAATTCTGATCGAGTGAATTGGTAAAATGTTCAAAAGCGATTAATTTCCAAGCAGCAAAGTTGCATGATCATTTTAATCCAACCAATTGAAATCGTGGGATAATGCCAAGAAATATTTTGGATCATTTTAATCCAAAATTCTCGAACAAGAATATGGATCAGTAAAGGGAATGACTTACAGCTGGGAGTAGTTAGCTTGAGCGTGCGGAAGCAGATATCATAAAGAGCCTCATTGTCCAGCACCATACATTCATCTGCATTCTCCACCAACTGGTGGACAGATAAGGTTGCATTGTAGGGTTCAACGACAGTGTCTGAAACCTTGGGCGAAGGGAAGACAGAGAAGGTAAGCATCATCCGATCAGGGTACTCCTCCCTGATCTTAGATATCAAAAGCGTTCCCATTCCGGAACCAGTTCCTCCTCCAAGAGAGTGGCACACTTGAAAGCCTGAGCAAAATAATTACATACGAATCAATGAGGAAAGTAATATGTATAGCCTGGAATACGAAGGAATTAAAGCGACAGATAGAAAGGAAGCAAGTTATACCCTGAAGGCAGTCGCAGTTCTCGGCTTCCTTCCTCACCACATCGAGAACCGAGTCGATGAGCTCAGCTCCCTCGGTATAGTGACCCTTAGCCCAGTTGTTTCCAGCACCAGACTGACCAAAGACGAAGTTATCGGGACGAAAGATCCGACCATATGGCCCGGTTCGGACGCTGTCCATGGTACCAGGTTCCAGATCCATCAGCACCGCCCTGGGGACGTACCTCCCACAAGAGGCTTCATTGTAGTACACGTTGACGCGCTCGAGTTGGAGATCCGACGTCCCAGTGTACCGCCCGGTTGGATCGATCCCGTGCTCATCACACACCACTTCCCAGAACTTGGATCCGATCTGATTGCCGCATTGGCCACCCTGGATGTGAAGGATTTCTCTCATTTTTCACCTATATTGACGACAGGGAAGCAAAATTAGGACCGAAATGACATCAATCTCGATAACATCTCCTGAAGATATTCAATTAAAGCATAAGATAATAGACCTTATTAGATATCTCAAAAACCAACAAGAACAGATCAAATTTAGAACACATCTATACACAAATCAGCACCATCCAATATCACACATCATCATAAAAATCCTATGGTTTCCATCTATAATTAGTAAAATAAAAAAAAATTCGACAAAATGAGAGTAAAATCCGGAAGAATGAGAACACGAACCGAAATCGACTCCGAAGAAACCGCGAGGGCAACTAAAGCATCTTATTAAGATCAGAAAAGGATACTTCGCGATCCACAAAAGAACCTCGAAGACACGAAGAATTCGCGTATAACAGAGGGCTTACCGGCGAGGACGGAGATATTGTTGTCCTCGGAGGCAACGAGAGTGAGAGAGAGACGTGAGGGCGCATCGGGAGGCGGAGCCCTAAGCGAGGTTTATAGAGATTATGGGAGGGAATCGGACGGCCAAAACTCTTTCCCTCCTTTTCTTTATCGTCTCTCGGATGTCGTCCGATAGATTGATCGGACGGCTGCGGGCGTCGAGGTCTCGACGGTTGGGGCCGAAGCTTTTGCTTTCAAAAACCATAAAGGTAAATGACGACATCGTCCCGAAGATATCTATCGAAATCACAAATCTGTCCTCCGTTGTGCAGCGGTTCCACCGCAACGTTGTCCGAGAGCGATCCTATCAGACGGCTGGAATTTGATCTTCATAAGGAGCCGTTGGATCTGAGATTTAACGCGGTTAAAAAATTTATATTGAGATTCTTATAATCTTAAAAATAAAATAAATAATTTTATTTGTTCTAACATCATCAATCACATTGACAGAAAACATAGCACGTTACATCACATATTAGATCGATATGAAAATGATGAAAAATAATAATTTTAATATTCTTTTTATTTTAATAATTTTATCGATAAAAAAATAATTTTAATGCCTCACATATTAGAAGCGAAAGATATATTAAAATTATATTTTTGTCCATCACTTTCGTATCGATCCAACTGTATTGATATATTTTTATCCATCACTTTCGTATTGAAATTATATCTTTAATACCTCAAATAATTATCGTATTATGTTTTATGCAAATATAACCGATAATGTTAGGACAAATTAAGTTATTTATTTTACTTTCAGAGTTATAAAAATTTTAATATAATTTTTTTAAATATAAAAAATCATGATGCTAATAAAATCTAAACATAGAAGATAATATGTAATTAGTCAAAATTAAATTATTAACCTAAAACAAAACCATTGTCTTCCTTCTCAGACTGACGATTATGTTTCCTTCCAATTATTGGAAGCTCTCTGGAGAATCCATGGAAGCATATTCCTTGTGCTGCTGGATGCTAATACGTAACTTGTCCTGCTCCAGCCAAATCTGTATCTGTATGTCTTCTACCTACTGCTTCCATTGATCCACCTTATGTTCCTTGCTCAGTGGTCGAGTGTTTGCAATCAAGTTCTTTGTTTCTAGCTTATCCTTTCTGCTTTTAGCTCCAAATTTTGTCTGTGACAACTTGATTGCAGCTGCTAGATTGACCCACAGAATCCAATGCCAACACCACCAAATCCAATGCTTACTACTTTTGCAGAACTGAAAGGAACCCGACGGACATTTTGGTCCAACTTGGAGGTACTCCTGTCGGCTCTGTCAGCTCTGGGTTTCTACTGCATGTTCTTCGTGAGCTAACTGTTGGATCACACGTAGATCTTTGCTTACTCCAGGATTCAACCACATCCATGACTTTGTGGTGATGTGCAGTCCAGCATGTTCATGTCCAAGTTTGCAGAAGCTCATCCATTAGGTTTCCTTATAATAGAACGCCATCATGAACACCAGCAAAACTCGAGTGTCCTAATGCTGCACCACTTGAGGACTAATATATCGACATATTTAAGAAGCAATACCAACTCCCAGATCTTATCTGGTGCATATGCATCTGAAGGTTGGACTGTCAGCAAACCAACCCAAATAGATTAAGCTAAGACGCATCACAGGATTGAAGATGACGTCACAGCTAAATTTGATGTTTCTTCTCTAATCAGACCACCATGAAACAGCTTATCCAGCCATCATTATTGTCGACTGCCATAACACCATTGCAAGGGAGGATGATTATTCCAATAAATATTAGAATCATATTGTACTGCAAATCTGCTGTCTATACACTGATCAATGGGAATATGGTTTCTTGATCTAAAGATGCAAATAGGGAGAATAGACGGTTCTTTCCAAATATTGAACATTGGGTTTTTGAGGGAAAGTAATGCCACAGCAAGTTGCAAACAGGAAATATGTTTTCAAGATACTCTCTTAGTACATATTCACCAAGCAGCAGAAGCATTCAAATTTACAGGCAATTCATCAGAAAACATGCTTTGCAAAAACACAGATATAGATGTCATTTGCTGGGTTTAGATACCGCTGTTCATATTAGTAGCATCGAGCACTATGTTTACTGACTTGCAGACTCCAAATGCTCCTGCTGCATCTGATTCAAGTGAAAAGTGCCTTCCAGATCCTTGTGCACTTCAACCTTGAGTTTCTCCTCCTTGCTTCCCCTCTTTACTTTGATAAGCATGTCAAATTTCGCAATGTCCTCAACCACCTGAGAATTGAAAGGAGCCGTGATAAACCCACTGATCTCAAGCACTTGACCGTTGGAAGATGAAAAGATTATCTGCTCGGAAACCATACTAGAACAAAATAAATAAAAGGGCAAGAAGGCCAGACCTCTGCCCTTGCAAGAAGGACCTCCAGCAGTTCATAGGGGGCCAATGAGTTGGACCTCTGTTGAATGGTCTGCACAGCATGATGTGCTGCATCTTTGACCACAGGATCATGTGCAGGAACAGTACGCCAGCCAGGTCCATGCTCACCTGGTATATAATGAGGCTCATTATGATTAATGCAGAGCCAATCTTACAAGGCTTGACAGAGATGCTTCATCTTTTGACTGTGTTAGATAACACAAGTGTTCAGATTTATCTAAGCTCGTAAACAGACAGACATTCCAGAGAAGGAAGAACAACACTTACAAACTTAAACCAATAAATTCTTCAGTTTTCCAAGTCTTGGTATTTTTCAAAGTAGTCATTGAGAATTACATATAGCTCAACTATTCTCATAACAGCCTTGCCATTGTAAACATAGTTTCATCTCATTTCACAGGAAAGCAGTGATAGACACCATCAGAGTTCAAGCATTATACATGCCAATATCAAATGAAAAAAGAAAAATCAAGTGCTATCAGATAAAAAAGAAGCAAGATAAAAAAAACTTAATAAGTGATAAAACACAAAAAATTCACAATTCAAAATAAAAGGATGTAACATTATTTGAATTATATGTCGTGTAAGAGAAAATCTTAAGATATCTACTAAAAGATTTTAAAGACCAAACACACATGGCGAGGGAGTAGGTCATGGGCCATAGAATATGGATATTGATTATTGACATGAGATTGAGATATGATACAACACAAATATACCAATATATCATATCTTGAAAAAACAGGATATAATATCTTACAAATACAGCCATCAAGATATTTTAATATATAACATTATATGTGACAATGTCTGATATGCTTAATGGTGTTTGATTATATACCTCTAATAACATAGCAGTTCAGTATAAAGAAGATAGCAAGAACTTATGATGTAAAGTAACCTCTTGAGTTTAATTTCATCATTCATAATTTGATCTTTAACACTAAAAATAACACGTAATTAATATATCTAGTCACATATCCATCTTATATGTAGTAAAAAAATAAAGAAAATATAGTTAGCCTAAAATGTATCCACAACATATTCTCAGGTATTCTATAATTATCCTATTAGTTTAACCATTATTTAAAATAAAATTCTATCGAGGAAACAACTGGTGTATACGCATGAAATATTCTACTAATACCATAGTTGGCATGTATTTGGTACTAATATGACAAGCAACTCAAAATTTTCATATTTCATATGTCATGGATATTTTTATGTGAATAATCACAGAATTAATCGACTCCAACTTGTCTCAATCAAATTTGACAGTTCGACTGATTTCCAGCAATAAGCCAACACATAAACAAACTTCAGACCATGGCAGGCTAACCTTGATCAGAAACGATGGGCAGACTTTAGAAGTTTACTTATACACATTTAAGTGCCTACTGAAGTTATAACTATTAGGTGAGGCTTAAAGGCCCTTAATAACTAATATCAAGTTACATGTGGCCTGGTTGGTGACTGAAGCAATGAGGCTTTTGGTTATATTGTCTTAATAATATTCAGTTGGGAGGTCATGGATTAATCATAATTCTTGTTTGATATGCTGTTAATTGGAAAGCTACCTTGGAGCCTATAATCACTTTGTCTGCTACTAAATCAGATTATGGTCGTGACCAAAGGCAGTAAGCTATCCAAAATGAGGCTTGATTGGTAAGACAGGATCAAGTAAAGAGGTGACCATAATCTACAATTAGAGTGACATTCACTAGTCAAAATATCAGATTTCATATGGGAATGGAGCACATTTGGGAACAATGCTGCTTTGCCTGAGGCGTAGACACTCGGGGTGACTTTGTTGTGAAGAAGATCGGTGATACATGAGATCCAACTAATATGTTTGCCAAGTCTGCCAAACTAATTTGATGCATTCCCTTATCTTGGTTCACTCAGCACAAGGTTATCCCTCTTAGGCTGACATAAATTTGACCTGCAATATGGTACAAGACACCACCAATAACTTCGGAAGAAAATAAATTAAAAATAAATAAAAAACTAGTGCTTTGTTGGACCAGATCAAATTCTAAAATCCTTGCATCGAATTTTGACAATCTTACCACTTTCATATTCATATTTTGTCAGTAGTCTGAATTGTAAGAATAGCTCAGGGTACAACTCAAGCTTAGCCTAGTTTGTGAAGCATGAGTCAGAGCCGAATAGCCTGGTCCTTGTTCAAATTATTGATTAGCATATCACAAACTAACACCAATTCATTTGTCTCTGGCTTGTTAGAAGACCAATCCTATTTAATATGTTGGGATTTAGAAACCGCTAGACTCTCGAACCCACCTCAGCTTCACGCAACCACACAAGCCCCATTTTGTCCATCTCTTTAGCTCTCGTGCCATCTCCAAAAACCACCATTGTGATCATCAACACCAGCCCCACTGCTGCCACCCACCTCACCACCGTCTAACTCATCAAACTCCTGTTCCGCCTTGAGGTTACTGAGGATGCCAGCGAGGCAACCAACCACATCATACATCGGTCATTTTGTCTCTTACATGATGCCTCCCCTTGCCTCCCCACAACACTGCATCATCCACTCTGAACATCTTCTCAATGTCACCAATCGTTAAAGCTTGTATCAATCCAACCTCGAAC